AGAAGACAGCTTTCAGCGTTGGAGACGGTCTGTGGCAATTCACGGTGATGCCCTTTGGATTATGCAACGCTCCTGCCACTTTTGAAAGGCTTATGGACCATGTGCTTAAGGGACTGCATTGGAAAACCTGCATGGTGTATCTATACGACATTATTGTATTGGGTAAAAGTTTTGAGGAACACCTGAATAATTTCGAAGAAGTTTTCCAGGGGATAGCTGGCGCTGGTCAGAAGCTAAGTCCTAAAAAGTGCTCACTGTTCAAGAAGGAGGTGAACTACTTAGGACACAAGGTGACAACGGAGGGCGTCTGTACTGCGAAGGAAAAGATAGAAGCAGTAAAGGATTGGCCAAGACCTAGGAACCTGCACGAACTACGAAGTTTTCTTGGGCTATGCACCTACTACCGCCGATTTGTTCCGAATTTCGCCAGCGTTGCAAATAGCCTCCACGAGCTCACTAGGAAAAATAGAGCCTTCGAGTGAAACAAGGAGCAGGAGGAGGCTTTCCAAGCTCTGAAGGAACGACTATGCACTGCACCTATGCTAGCGTATCCCGTTCCACGTGCAATGTTTATTTTGGATACGGATGCTAGTGGTAATTGATGGGCAGGAGAAGGTAGTTGCCTACTATAGCCGGTCGATTGGAAAAACATAGAGGAACTACTGCGTAACTCGGAGAGAACTTCTAGCGTTGGTGGAGTGCGTCAAACATTTCCACAAGTACCTCTATGGGCAACGTTTCCGAGTTCGAACGGACCATGCAGCGTTGAAGTGGCTACTACAGTTTAAGAATCCAGAAGGACCACAAGCTCGGTGGATTGAGAGACTGCAAAGTTATGACTTCGCTATTGAGCACCGCGAGGGAAGTGTCCATGGAAATGCTGATGCCATGTCCCGTCGACCATGTGGCCTGGAATGAAAACACAGCTCAAAAGCTGAGGGCAAAGAAGGCATTATAGACGTCCGGCTAACGACAATAACACCAGCGGAAGAGTGGAAGGAAGAACAGCTACGAAAGTGTCATCAGGAAGATCCAGATCTGGAGATTTTGATGCATGGACTGGAGGTCAAGTAAGGAGCAAATGGCAACGGAAAGCCCAATCGCAAAGGCATACTGGGCACAATGGAAAAGCTTAAAGTTGATATCTGGCTGTTTGCACAGGGTATGGGAAAGTGAAGATGGCAGTGCTCCCGCAACCTAATAGTAGTTCCAAGGGTAAGAATTCCGGACGTTCTCAAGGAATTCCACAATGCTCCTAGTGGAGGGCACTTGGGAATCACGAAGACCCTGGAGAAGATCAAGCAGAGGTTCTATTGGGTTGGTTGCTAACTGCGCGGAGTGTATTGCAGCTAAAGGCCCGAAATCCAGAAGTCATGGCCAGATGAAGCAGTATAATTCAGGTGGACCATTCGAGCGGATTGCCATGGATGTAGCCGGTCCATTTCCTATGAGCGCACAGGGAAACAAATATGTCCTTGTGGTTATGGACTACTTTAGCAAATGGCCGGAGGTATTCCCGATTACAAACCAGGAAGCTAAAACAGTAGCGGAGGTATTCACCTACAATTGGGTTGCGAGATACGGTACCTATAGAGCTGCACTCTGACCAGGGAAGAAATTTTAAATCGGCGGTGTTCCAAGAGATGTGCCAGATACTGGGTATCCGGAAAACTCGAACAACGGCTCTTCGTCCCCAATCAGATGGCATGGTGGAACGGTTCAACCGAACCCTGGAAGAGCATTTGCGGAAGGTCGTGGATAAGAATCAAAAAGATTGGGATGTCCGCATACCCTTGTTCCTGATGGGATACCGGTCAGCAGTGCATGAAACAACGGGTAAAACTCCTGCAAGGGTAATATTCGGCAGTGAGCTCCGTTTGCCTAGTGACCTGAAGTTTGGGGTAACTGGTGATGCTAGAAGAATTGGAAAAGAGAGGTCAAACATCCTGGAAGTGGAGCTGAGAGAGATACATGCTCTTGTGAGACAGCGCACGCAAATTATGAGTGACAAGATGAAAGCCAGGTATGATAAGGCGATGAATTCCGAGGGTTTCCAGGAAGGAGATTTGGTGTTGCTGTACAATCCACAACGGAAGAAAGGTTTGTCCCCAAAACTACAATGCAACTGGGAAGGTCCGTATAAGGTCGTAAAACGGCTAAATGACGTAGTGTATCGGATCCGTTGGGAGACAAAGAAACAAGATGAAGGTAGTCCACTTGGAAAGGCTTGCAGCGTTTGGAACAGCAAGTGTGTCTGATCGGGACGATCAGACTTAGGTGGAGGGCAGTGTGGCGAATACTGCGGCAACACAAAGTGAACAACGAGAAATAAGCAGAATGTTCGAGGAATGAAGTAGAATGTTCCACAAAGAGAAACGTCAAGTTGGATGAACACTGGGAACAGCGAGAGAAAGAGAATGAGCGATTAACTTCAGAACATTCTAGAGTTGCCATGAGTGCGAGCGCAGGTATATAAGAGCCACCACACAGCGGAGTCATTGAGTTACAAGTCAGCAAGCTACAAGTAAAGTGAGCAGAGAAGTGAGTTGCGAATAAGCAAGCTATAAGTTTAATTGTGTTAACAAGTTTAGTAAAGCGTTGTTATTGCTTTAACGAGTATTTTAAAGTGTTTTTACGGTATTGGCGAGTATTGTAAATTGTTTGTTGTACAATAAAGTTAGTTGAACTACAATTTGGTCATCGCTAGCATTTATTTAACAATCCAGCGATACGAGCCGTAGTATATTTGGGAAATCCCTCAAGGTTTCAAGGATAATCGTAACAGTATGATTTATGATATCGATACTTTCTTAAGCTGAAATTAGGCGAGAACGCAGAACGTATACTTACGTTTCAGCTTTAAACGCAGTCTGTATACGCAGAATTTTGTCGATTACTGGAGCCCTCAGTGTTGCTTACTACACTGTTGCCACTCATCAATGCCTTTTCATAAACTTACCCTTTCAACTACAATTTTTCGTGCTATTATAGATTTTAGCTAAATATAAACTACTTAGTTTTCAACAAAAACCTTATTCAATAGTAAATTTCAAATATTTTAAACATATTTTGAATAGGAACTTATAACTTTTTTACCATCTGTAAAACTGACGAAGTGGCAACCATCTAAAGAAGGAGAAATCAGCTGACACGGAAAAATCTAAATTCCGCAGATTTCTGCGCTACGGGCTACAACTACAGAAAAATTCTGCGGTGTTGAGTTTTCATTTACATGGCGCTTTGGTAAGACAGATCGTGTCAGCTGACTCGGCTTTACGTACCGGTAAGTTTACGTTCTTGACTAATTTTAGCTTTAAGCGAAGCGCACATTGGCGCGATTCTGTCGTTGCGAATACGTTGCGAATTCGGCTGTTAACTTCGAATCCGCAAACGTGCGCACACTTGAGCGATTTTTTCGCGTCGATTTCCGATGTACAATTCACTCAATTTTCCCTTTATTTCGTGTATTTTCGCACTCGGCGTGCCCAAATCGTACAAAATACTATTATTACGAACGTTTTTATTAGTTTTTGTACATTACACGTTTTTTTTTCTTTGCCTTTATTGCTGTGACACCTTTCTTCTTCTTCTTTGACGCCTTCAAAACGCTGCAAGCCGCGTTCGAAAAATTCGCAGCGACGGAATCGTGCAAGTGTGCGCTAGCGCATTAAAATGTATGGGTAGCATTGTTGTAATTTTTGGGCTTGCGGATTCGCAACGACAGAATCGCGCCAATGTGCAATTAACAGCATTTCCTCACAATGATTTTGCTTCTGCTCCAAGCAGCCTCCATTAGCAAGTTAACCAATCAATCCCGCTGAGATGCTGCCGCAGTTTTCTGCAGCAGCCTTAATTGCAAAGCAATGGAGTGCACTAAAACGTTTGCTGAAGCAGCCTCAATTGCAAAGCAATGGAGTGCACTACAATGTTCACTGTTCTCTAATAGATTAGGTGAAAAATGCAATATTTTCGCATTTAGCAAATTAAAACACGTTTTTCGCAGTAAAGTGAACTGCTTTGGCAGTTTCAACTCGTTCTTCTTTTCGCTCTATTCTTTGTTTACTTGTGGTACACAAATGTCAACGCCCAGGGCGGCGCAATCTTGTATTCTGTCATTCTTGGAACATTCCTAGCTCTCATTCTTGCAATCGGAATATGCGGCAATTCAGTAACGATTAATTTTCCGATCTGGCACTGTTTAGAAACATTTAATTCCAAAGCACTTGGCATCCCTCGCGAATGTATTAAATTTGAACGGGCGGGCATCTCAGTTGAGCAATTTTCTTTGCAAAATATACTGCGATCTTGTAATATTTGCACCGGATTTGTGTTATTATGATTGGTAGTTGCTTTAATCAATATGTCCTCCCAAATGCAACAAATTGCAACATTGTGTGCTGAGCTCCGTTCTGATAAGCCTCCAACACGAAACAAGGCGGCCGAGCGTTTGGAGACTATACTGGTGAGTTCCAAGGACGAGCTGATTCAGCGGGCTCGTGGTAAACATACAGAAGATATAACTTGGAATGAGGTATTCTCTAGTGTTGTTGATGCGGTGCTTAAGGTATGGATTTGAGTTTTCATCATAAATTTAAATCACAAAAATACTTGTACAGCATGCAGCCAAAGTCGTGGAGTTGAAGGATCAAAAGAGTATACAAGCCCTGCTAAATAAAAATCACGTTTACCGTTCAGTTATAAATAAATTAATCGATTACAATTTGGAAAGTAAGGTCTGTTTGATTTCATCCTCAGAAGCTAATCATTGGTTTATAATTTGTAGATTCAAATAACATCTTGACGAAGTCTGCAATTTACCATGCATTTTGTAATGGCTTTGGCACAACAAGCGCTGTGAAAATTTTTGGTAGCTTGTTTATTCAGATTCTTGAACGAGGAATTTATAAATGCCCTTTATACGTTCGTGAATTAAAAGTGGATGAATATAGTAGTATGTAACTCAATTTTATTCATATAAATTTGTACATATTATGTACTTACAACATTACCCAATCCACTTGCTTATCTTTCGCAGATATACTTTCGAACTTGTTTGAGTTAACTATTCCGGGTGATGAGATTTTGCAGTTTGAGATTTTGAGCTGCATTGTTAAAACTATTGAACTGGCTGTTCAGTATGTTCATATTCAAGACGAAATTATAGACTATTTGCCGGAAATTTTGCCCTTTGCAAGAAGAGCAAATGATGACCGGAAGAAAACGGATGTTATAAAACTGTACTATTTTTTCATATCCCAGGTAAACCTGAAACTATAAACGTTTTTTTAAGCGCTCTCAAATTCTTGTTCTCTCCTCAGCTATCCATTGATTACCATCATACAGTGTGTGAATCGTTGCAAGATATTGTACCAGTTTTGTGTGATGTTTATAATCTAAAACTGAAAGCAGAAGTAAAAGTTAGTATCTCGCTCTATTATAACTTTTGAAAATTATTAAAAACCTTTAAATGCAATTGTCTTATAGGAAATATATTATCTTTCAATGTACTCCTCTATACATGCCATATATCCGCATATTAATACTGGCAATTTTAAAACAATGCAAATTTCATTAAAAGAAAGTTGGCCAAAAACTTTAAACAAACTGAAGTCAATAATAGATTTGGAAATCCGAGAACGCAAAATGGGATTACAACGTCCAAATCAACCTGGCCTGGAAAATTGTATGGATCACTTCGTTGAAATGGCTAGTGTTGTTGTATATGTGGTATGTAGAATTAGTTTTAAATTTAGCAGAAATTATACGGTTTATGCATAATTTAAAGTTATTTTGGCACATTGATGATAAAACCGATATACCAACGAACGAACCGGTAAGCAAAATCGCAAAAGTTTCCGATAGATTGGATACAGTATTACGGCTTGTTCAGCATGATAAAACATTTAATGAAATTTGGTATGTATTAAAGTTTTTCTATTGATCATTCAAAGAATTTGTTAATTCATACACAAAAATGAATAATTTCTATAGCTATAACTGGGGCTAAGAATTTCATGCACTAAAAAATCGAAAATATGTGAACTTGAAATTTAAAAATATGGGCTATAAAGTAAAATATCCAATTAAAAATATTTTCCTAATATTTTATTGGCGGTACAAAAGTAAATAATACATGTAATTTTAACAAGAAAAGAACGAAAACAATTCATTTTAAAAGATAATACATATTTATTTATAAAATTAGCCTATAATCAAGCAGAGAATTACAATGTTGTGCAAATAGAAACATACAGTCGTTCCGATTAATATTTGGGAAAAGTTATACGTATTTTTTTTTCAACAGATGTTGCACTGAAGTTAATCGTTTTGAGTCAAACAAAGCAAAAATATGCAAAACCTACATGAATTTATTGTAAAATATACTGAAATATGCGCAATACATATGCAAAAACCGGAATTTTTTACAAAATATCCAAAAAATATCCACAACCGACTGAATGCCATGCATATTATAGGAAATTTCATGATTCGTAAAGATAACAACCATTTCCTCTTAAAGATGCCCAATAAAAACTTGCACTTGTTTGAGATTCCTAGCCCTAGATATAACTAAGTTACTAATAGCAGTAATTGGATTAACGGTACAGGTATAAAACCTATCAAATGAAGGCATATCCGTTTTAATAATAATTTTTTGGCGCTTACACCTTTTTTTAACCGACTTCCAAAAAAGGAGGAGGTTATCAGTTCGTCGGAATATGTTTTTTTTTTTTATGTATGTTACCGCATAACTTTGCACCACGTCAACCGATTTCAATAATTATTTTTGCAACGGAAAGGTAGTGTCTCAGAGGTGGTCCCATACTAATTTGGTTTAGATCCGATCATTGGATCATAAAATATATAGATATATATATATTTTTTTAAGTCGGTTTTTTTTTGCTAAAAATTACTTGTTAATGAAATGATCTACAACTTTGCACCCTGTGTTCCGGTTACGTATACCCGACTGTTCTCACGACCGTGCAGAAGTGCGCATACATCATTAAGTTTGCATACATATCCAAATTATATTATTTACGTACGTATTCCATTATGAATATGTATTTAATTTTTTAAGTACTTACATATGTATATTTATTTATTTATTTTAAACCGACTTAAAGAAAGGAGGGTTATCAATTCGTCGGAACATATTTTTTTTATGTGTGTTACCGCATAACATTGGACCATTATTATTATTATTTGTTGAACAGATTTTCAGTGCTACAGTGCAACATGAAAAACAGTTGGTCACGCAGCTCTAGCTTCAAAGGCCATCGGCTGTCCTTGAGTTTATAATGCGGCTATAAGTGGATGATTGTTAGATTAGCCTTAATAGGTCTACTGATTTTATATATTTATATATTGCTTGCATGTTGACTTTGGAGGGTTCTTTCAGTAGATTAAGAGGATCCGTGGGTCCTAAGATCTCCTGACGGCGTGCGGATGTGGCTGGACAAGTAAGAATGTGTTTTACTGATGCGTGTACTTCACAGAATGGACAGTTGTTAGGAAGAGTGCGTTTTAAAAGATGCTGGTGTGTGATGATAGTATGACCGAGACGAAGGCGGGTATATGGTTTCAGGATGCACAGCAATATGTCCGGCTCGTAGGTTGGTTTACTTCTGGCGGGATTGGTGGCCGAGTAGTGGTGACTGTAATTACTCCAGCTATTAACTAGTGATATGCGTCGTAGTTTCGCGATTTCAGACAGAATGTCTCTACTAGATATACAGTAATGCATGAAGCAGGGTGTTCTGGCGACGTTTTTTGCTGCGCGGTCTGCGAGTTCATTGCCCGGAATTCCTGCATGACCGGGTATCCACATCAGTTTGATTTTGTTTGAGTTCATAAGAATTTTACGGCCTTTATTATGGTGGGCATGCTTTGTTGCTTCAAGTACAGCTACCTTCTCTGCTGTGAACACTGAACTGGAGTTGTGAAGGAGACCGTGTTTTATCAGATGTCCGCATTGCGAAGTGACTGCAAATGATGTGTTGTGTGGCGTCTTCGACCCATCGGTGTATATGAAAGACCATCCGAGCTTAGAATAATTTCCTTTTTCCATAGCAAAGAGTGATATGTATTGCTCCTTCGGAGTATCCGCTTTGCGTAGTTGGAGAGTTTTGATGATTGGCGAAATTTTGTTAATGTACCATTGTGGGTGCGTTTCCGATTCTGTTCGCTTTCCTTTCACTGGTATTCCTAGCTGTTTTGCAAATCCCAAACTACGAGTTATGGCTGGCGTTATCCTAGGATTTCGTTTCTTCCGTAAGGCATTTTTGACATCATCAGAGAGGATAGTGTTGGAGGTATATAACAGCTTTATGAGAAGACGTCGGGTGTTATCAATTTTCCTATCTAGTATCGTAGGTAAGCCGGTTTCAGCGTATAGGTTTCTTAGTGGAGTTGTTGGGAATGCTCGAATTGACCTGCGTATAGCGGCATGATACGGTGTGGAGATCTTCTTTATTGTAGATGCTGCGCCGTTGGCATATATTGGCAAGGCGTAGTCAATCTTGGATAAGATCAGCGCTTTGGTCACGTTTAACAGGGTGGATGGATGCATCAGGCTTTTTTTGATGACAGATATTTGATGATGTTTAAACTGCTAATCAAACGATCTCTTAAGTGAAGGTAGTGCGACTTGAAGCTATACTTGGAGTCGATGATCAGGCCCAGAACTTTGAGTTCTTGCACAGAGTTAATGTTGTTGCTGTAAACAGTAGGTATGGAACAAAAGTGTTTTCTACAAACATGTAGGAATTTCGTTTTTGCATAGGATATTGTTGTACCAGAGGAAATGGACCAGGTGGTTAGTTTTGATAATATTTCGTCGAAAAGTAATTTTACGTCATTTGAGTTAGCAGTCTTTGTAAAAAAAATAACGTCGTCAGCATAGAGTTGGCATTCTATTCTACCCGGGTTATTTGTAAGTGTGACGATTTCATCGAAAGCTGTTATAAATAGAAAAGCGGACAAGGGTGATCCTTGTGGGGTTCCGTTGTTTAGAGGGACTGTTGAGGAGAGGTGTCCATGTTAACCGATTTCCATAGTTCTTTTTTTAAAGGAAAGGTGGTACCGAAGAGGTGGTCCCATAGTAATTTGGTTTAGATCCGATTATTGGATCATAAAGTAATTAACGGTACTCTTAAATTTTTAAATGAGAATTGAAGTCGGTTTTGTTTTTTGCTTAAAAATTACTTGTATTTGTTAATGTTAATTGTGGCTTATTAACATTTTATTTTTAATATTTTTTGAGCTTTGTACTACGATTGTTTATTAGCAGAAATTGAAAAAGCAACAAAGTCTAAGCGGTAGAAGTTATAGCAGCTATTTCGGAGATCACCACATCTCCTCATCAGACTTCTTTTTCTAGCAGGGATCGAACCTGCGTAATCGATGTTCAAAGTCAGAAGCGTTAACCACTGAGCTATGTACACCCCGTAAACTCTTGTTGCTAATTCATTTTCCTTATTCAACCAACTACTATCAAGTGCAGCTTATTTGCCGCTATTTAAACTCGACAGCGTGGTTGTTGTTGTCAATTCTATACATCCATTTGCTTATTTGCTTTATTGTATAGTTTCAGGCAGGCATGTTAATAAGCCACAATAATATTGATAAATACATAGTTTAGGAAGAGCGAGAGAGAGTTGTACGTCCGCCTTGACATCCCTGATACGGGGATTTCCGGGATCGGCCTGACGAAGGCTGTCACGCTCATCGGCTAGAACAGCCGCTTCAGCAGGGAAGTTTGGACGGGCCGACATGATACGCTGTTTATCAGACCAGCGCTGACTATTGTTATGTCTGGCGAGCTGCAGCAGCTGCCCATAATCCTGGTGGGTGCGTCGTCGTTCATTGTGCAGAATGTCGAATCGTCTAACTACTCAGCCAAGTCTGTTCCCCTACGATCGTTTGACAGGCTTGAGTGCCAAAGACCGTAGTGCTCATTAAAGTCACCTACTACCATACGGTTTTCACCTCTGAGGAGCGCACCTATATCAGGGTGATATCCTGCCGGGCAGCAAGTGACAGGGGGTGTGTACACATTAAATATTTCTAGCTCAACATCGTCTGACCGGATAGCAATGCCCTGACATTCTAGGGTGGTATCCCTGCGGTCGATGTCTGCTTCAATAAGACGATAGTGCAGGGTGTGGTGCGTGATGAACGCTAAGCCACCACCATTATCTCGCTCGCGATCTCGACGGTGCTCGTTGTTCCTGGCACAATTAAACAATGTTGAATTGCTGTGCAACTTCGTCTCTTGAAGACGGTTATCTCCTCGATCTTGCTCCGAAGTCCGTTACAGTTAAATTGAAGGAGCTTCATGTGGTTCGGGAGACGTGTAGTTATGCGGGGTGTGAGGGATGCGTGTGGCCTTGCCGCCATTGGCTGTGTCTGCTGTGGAGGTTGCCGCCCTGTGGTGGTAGTGGTTGGCGTCGCAGTTGGGGTTTGCGACCGAGCAGCGCATCACGGGCCCTCGAAGTTCCTCGTCCAATCTGGCGTGGTGCGCAGACCTGAACATGCCCTAAAGTCAGGGCAGGTGTTGCACTTGACTGATGTCACATTACGTAATATTCTGGTCTGACATACCGTGCAGATTGTAGGAGGAACCAGGAGTTGTTGGCGGCGGCGTGTGGGTGGTGGTGCGGTTGTGTATGTTATGTGGTCTGTCGTGGTTGTGGTGTGGTCTATTGTGTTGTTATGTTGTGGTGCTGTGGTGTTTGTGTTGAGCTGCTCAGGTGGACTGGGGTTAGCCGTGGAGCTGCTCTGTTTGAGCATCAGGGGGCCAAAAACGATGTGGTCCACTGCCGATGTGTCCGTAGTCCTGAGCAGATTCTGAGGTGACTCCACCCCTCTCATGCATTGCACTTGACTGAGGTGGGGTTGTGGTGTAATCGTCT